TCTATTGTCATTGTTCGCTGCACGTGAAACTGATGGAAAGAAATCCTGGACATCATAATCTTAACCATGTCATTGGTCAATGCAGATTGAACATGGACACCACTGTGAAGCAATAGTAATCAAAAAAGTGGCACCTGCTGGCCACTATTAACAAAAACAATCCAAGATCTCTCAGTAGGTTCTTGCGGTGCTGTGGTAGTGTCCCTAACTCTGAGCCAGGAGGCTTGGGTTCAGATCCCACCTGCTCTGGAGGTGTGCAATGCCATCTCTGAACAGGTTGATTACAACAACATCTTTCCAAGATCTCTTCAGGCTGCACAAAAGCACGGAGGTGATCTTCTTTCACCTTAAACTGTAAATATTCGCCAATGTGCTCTCATATGCAGTGATACTTTCACTGGGTGATTTGAGAGTGGAACAATAAGGCACCTGCAATCATACGGCACTTACAATCTCCTATCATCTCTTCATGATGTGCTGCATTCATGGGAATAAGGCACTATGTCAAAAGGTCCATGTAGAGACATTTCATGGCCCTCCTGGACAGAGTCCTCCAATTCCTGCTGTATGACGGAGTATTCATGAGTATGAAAACAATATTTGTGAGTGATGCAAACGCTGACTGCTCACATGACTAAGAACCTGTTCTGTTCCTCACACAACTCCAATGGAACTATAATCAATGGATCCAGCTAGAGCAGTGATGATCATCGTTATTGCTGTGATGCAACGAAGGCGTAGAGAAAAGTGCTGGCAGGATCATCAACAACCTCCAGTGTCTGTTGAACAGCCGTCATGTTAAGACATTGCAGCTGAAGGAGCCTCAAGACACGGAGGTGGTACAGGAGCTCCAGAGCCTATCATCCTCGATGCCACTTCCTCCAGATGGGCAAGGTGCAGTGTTGGCAAACACTGTCTGTGTCCTAGAGCACTGTCAGTGAACTAAGCCAACAAAAGGAGCATGTCCTGTAACCTGATGGGGTGGGTGGCCATCCTAAGCCAGTGACTGTCAAGGCGACAGCTGCACCAAATCTTTGTGCAACTGGATACTTCCAAGGATGCACTAGGGTCCTGTGTGAGATCTCACAACTCAAGACCCACAAATGTATCAAGGCTGTTACTGATGCAATTTGTGCCAGATTAGCGCACTTCAACTTGTATACCATAAGGTGAAGGCTGCAGGGTGGGCAGTAGACATTGGCAACATAGCTGACTTCCTCCCGTGCAGGGTGGTACAGACTGTACATAGGTTATAAGGAGAGGGCAATATAAAGCCAGGTGCATTATCATAATCAGGAAAGAATTCAACCATCAATGTGCAAGTCTTTTGTGATCTCTGGTATCACATCTTTGATATGTGCACCAGGTGCCCAGGGAGCTGCAACTATGCCTATATCCTAGAGAACTCTCAGGTTCTTGCTTCATTTCTCAGGCCAGATACCTTATAGGGATGATTACTGGGCCACCATGGCTGATGAGTCTGTTACGTAAACCCCCCGGACTGAAACCAAAGTGTAGATACAATGCAGCCCATTCTTCAACCAAAGCCATGAAGGAGAAAATGATAGGCTTCCTGAAGATGAGGTTCCAGTGTTTGCGTTTGTCTGGAGCTCCTTGCAGTACTGTCCAGACACAGTGTGCTATATATTCCCAGCATGCTGTGCTCTGTCCAACTGGAGCAGGCAACATGGGGATGAAATGGATTCCGAAGAGCTGGGGGATTGCCAGCAGTCTTCTGAGAAAAATGATGAGGACATCGAGCAGGAGGACCATCACTTTCTACATGATAGAGAGATGCAATGTCAGGTGTAACAAGCCAGACAGGGCTGAATTGACAGCCGGTTCCAGTAGATGAGAGCTGGGCACCATCATTAATTATTGACTGTAAACTTGTTGGTGCTCAAAGTATAAGCAATCCTTGTCTGTTCCTAGAAGTAAATGTAGCTTCTCTTTGTTTGTTTATAGCTCACTTTTGCTGTTGCTGACAAAAGTGAAGATTTTCAGTCATACGAAGACTTTCCATTATGTGGTGGCCCCACATTGAACAATAATAAAAAATTGCAGTGGGTGGACATGACAGAAACAGTAGCACTCAATTAGCATTCTAAAATGGGATAAGTCTAAAGATGGGCAACCTGATTAGATTGCTTCTTAAATAGCAGCAAATGGGCACTTCTATTTGCAATGAAGTGCCTGCTGTGCCATAGATATGCCCTAAGGAGTGTTTGTTCTTGGTTCCCCTCCCGCTATGTACATGGCGAAGGACAACTACTGGCTGGCAGCATTTTACCTGGTTTATGATTGGGCTTTAAAAATGACAGTGGCACCAGACTCCCGGGAGGTCCACCAGGTTGATTCCTGGGATGAAAGGTTGTATGAGGACCTTGAGCTTGTACTCGCTGGAGTTCAGAAGAATGGGAGGGTAAATCTGATTGAGGTATATAAAATGCTAAAGGGGATCGATAAGGTGGACATTGAACAGATAATTCCTCTTGTGGGACAGTCTCGTTATAAAGTGAGAGGAAGTTGGTTCAAAACTGAGATGAGGAGACACTACTTGTCTTAGAGGGTGGTGAATCTGTGGAACTCACTGCCCCAGATTGCAGTGGAGACAGAATCAATCAACAGATTCAAGAAAGAAATTGAAATGTTTCTGTTGAAAAGCAGGATATGGGGAGCAGGCAGGAAAGTGAAGATGAGACCAGGATAAGATCAGCCATGATCATGTTAAATGGCAGAACAGGCTTGAAGAGCTGAATTGCCTACTCCTGCTCTTAATTCCTTTGTTCCCATGTCCAGGCAGTAGCAGAGGCAATGCTTTGGGTGAGAGGGAAGATAAGACGAGTGGGGTGTCATACAGGCGTAACACATTGTTCAGGTGGTGAGAAATCTCGCAAGGCCGAGGGAGAGAAACCCTCCATGAAACTCGCCAAAATTGACAGCCGATTTCTAGTAAAATTTGGCCTGTGTTAAGTGTTGCCTTACATTAGATTTTTGTGTCACAGCTGTAATTGGTATAGTACAGCTACTGATGCAGGACTGAAAGACTGAGAGAGTTTTAAAAACAGAAAGTGACACAAATATTCAGCAGGTGTGGCAGAGTCTGTGGAGAGAGAAATGGTCATGTAATATTAGAACAACCATTAGTCAGAGCTACATATTTTGCGAATGTTTTGATAGTTTCTGGTGAGCTCTCTCAACAATTCTTGGCTCTTTGAAAGTGCCCCCTCACTGATATGACAGTACTGCGAATGTGCAACCACACTTTGTCCTTGCATTGACAGCTGATCCTGATCTCCATATTGCTACACTAATGCAAATATTTAAACAAATCATTCACATTCCTTTCATTTAACATTCCTCTTTCTGATCTCATCAGATTGTGTTCTTATCAAGAATTCATGATTACATCCACAGGTTTTGTCTGCAAACCATTTTCCATCAGATTAAAGGAATACCTAATTATATTTCTTTATGACAGGAATCACAGGAAACCTGCACGCCTTCCAGTCCATTGACTTATACACCCACATGGTAAATAAAGGTCCTGATTTGTTCACAGTAATTTAGTCTGTCAGGGAGTGCTTAGTCAGAGAATCAGAGGGCAAGCATGGGCAGGCTAAAAAAGGTTGGATATTTCTCAATTTAACAATGTAAAAAAGAAATTTGAGGCTGGATGTCTTTTGGCTGCTGTTTTTGGTTAGCAACCAGAAAGAGCTGTGATGAACATCAATTTCTCACTTTCTGACTACAATAGTTGGTATTCCTCTTCTATTTCTGGGCCAGGCCTTCCTGTCACAGAGGAATGCTGAGAATACATTACTGACCTTATTTTGGGAGTGTCTGGTTTGTTCACTTCACGTTAACTGCAATCCTTTATCTATACACAGTGAATCAATTAGAAAATACATATAACTAACAATGATTTGTAAAGGCAGTGTTCTTTTAAGGAAGTGAAACTTATTTTTTCCTATGCCATTACTTTGACGGGAAACATATTACACTGACAGCAAAGCTTCTCTTCATTGCATATCAGCTTACTTTTGCATTTAATGAGCGTGCAACTGCTTTCGTGCTGTCTGAATTCTCTTCAAAGAAAGCTGCAAGGTGTGAAATATAACAAGCTGCACAACACAAGCAAGTTGCAATTTGACCTAAACTGCTTTGATCTCCTAGATGATACAAGATCATTGAATTTATGTAAAGTTTGTCTATTGCTTTGTAGGCATTTTTAAAAAAGTGTAAAGGAGATTTATGCCTTCCTTAAATGAATGGCCCATCAATAAGTGAAAAAGGATGAGATGGGCTGTGATATTCTTAGCATGACTCACAGTATTGCTCTTTTCCTGTGCTTGATGCAAATTTAGTGCATTGCAACAAATAGAATAAGGAAATTTTGTTTTCAATCTTTTATGCTAGAAGCCTGCTTATGAACCTATTCTAACAAATATTAAATCGTCTTGATGTTAAGCATCCTTCTCTTTTCCTATTTTGTAATCCTGCACATCAATAAGTCACTACCAGGAACAATGGTTCCTATATGACACAATTATGATTACAATCAAAGCTTGCAAACTGGGTTCCTTAAATCTTTTACATGAATAGAAAAACCACAATGCTGTTAAAATTAGAATATTAGTTCAGAATATGGACTACAAGTTGTTTCTTCAAAAAAAAACACCAATATCTTACAAAATCCAGACACTACACAAACACTGTGCCTATGAAAAGCAAAATCATCAACCCACTGCTCAGGGAGTCAGTTCAACCTTTCTAACATGCATTTTTAGCTTTTTGCTTACATTTAACAGATGTGGAAATTCAATCATGTTTGTGTATCAAGTGTCACTTTCAAACATTCAGTTCAGATACTATTAACTGCAGAGTAATACTTCCTATTATCCGCCTCAATAGTGTGTGTTTACGCCAGGCTAGGAACTGCAGCAACTTTTGCACGAACACGACACCTAAACTTCTCACAAAAAAAAACAAAACCTTACTTCTCTGTTTCTTGACATTTGGATCCTCCCCTTAACTTGTCAACGACACTTCACTTTTCCTTGCAGGAAGTGTCCGAAAGGTCTAACCAGCTCTCTTTTCCTTTGTTCTCCCTCAATATCGCCTCCTGCTGTCAGAGGTTGTACTACACGCCAGGGGGTTGTTATGAGTTGGAGCGAATTACTGCAGATGCTGCAATCTGTACTGAAAGCAAAACAGAAGTGCTGGAGATCACAGCAGATCAGGCAGCATCCATGGAGAGAAAGCAAGCTAACGTTTCGAGTCTAGATGACTCTTCATCACTCAAAACATTAGATTGCTTTCTCTCCATGAATGCTGCCTGGCACGCTGTGATCTCCAGGGTTATTGCAAGTACCTTTCTGATAGGGATCTGGAGACTTATGTTTGTAACCTCAAAGGACCATTGTATCTGTCCCCATCACCAAACTTTACCATTTATGATGAAGGATGTGGACAGTCCTTTTCCTTCCCTGCTGCATGTAACAGCATGGGAAAAGAATTGAATTTGCTTAAACTCCCAATATGATTTCAGCTCAAAACATCTTTTGAGAGTTCACAAAAATGAAAACTGCAAATGAGAAAAAAAGTTATAACAAAATACAAACATTTACCAGTTCTCAGTGAAAGTTCACTATGTTGCTAATTTTACCCATTAACCCACTACCAGTTAGTGTGGGCTTATGGTGTGTACTCTTGAAGATGAGAAACGTTAGCACGTTGCATTCAAAATATAGCGTCAGCCAGTACGAGCTGAGATCAATAAGCACGCTGTACAAAACAGTGTTGGTATATTGCTCAGTGAATAAAATCATAAAATCGTCAGGTATGCTTAACAGCAGCAGATCATCGCTGCCCAGCTGAATGCCCTGTAAAACACCTGCAAGCAAAGAGCAGAAGCGTGGGGATAATAATTTTAAAAATTTCAAACCACCTACATGAAGCACAAAACATTGTTCGATTAACCACGGACGTCCCAGCAGTGGCTGCTTTGGAGTGTCCCAGGTGCTGCTTTGAGCTGGTATAAGCAGAACGTTTGGGAGTAGAGCAAAATCAGCCTTCAAAATTAAAGAGCTTTATTTGTTGCTGCTTTATTGCGTAGGTTGCTCAAATATTTCCGACAAAGTTGAAGGGACTGTGGTTTGAATTCAGGTGTTACTTCTGCAGTATGTTATAAAAACAAGGGTAGAGTGTTAATACTGTTTATCGGTCCTGTAACGGTTCTTATCACCAATGCTTAAGGGTCCTGTAATAAATGTCCTAACAACTCTTAAAAACAAATTCTTATTCCATACATTCCAAATAACTTTGAGCTTTGGAACTGATGGGAACTTGGCAGGCGCAGAAAAGCTGTTTGCTGAATGTAAAGTCTCACATGTTAAAACAAGATGAAATTGTCTTGTCACAGGAAGAATATGAGCCTTCTACAGTTAAAAAAATTGGCCAAGTAAACAGTGACCCACAAGTAAAACAGGAATCTTCAATGGTTACCTCTAGTTATTCCCACAACCCCTCACTGGAATATTAAGGATTGTGCAAAGGGTTCCACTCTGTCACTCTTCCAGTGGATAAGAATTTCAAACAGTTGCTCACTGTGAGTGGTTACTCATTTTTATGAAAGGAGTGAACTGATTTCAGGGATGCTTCAATTATCATTGGACCTGGGCCCAAAGAAGCAGCTCGTCGATCGATCAATGTATTTATGCTGTGGCATTGCAGTCTCCTGTGAATTTATTCTACATCACATTCAATGTCCATTAGAAATTGCTGACTAGTTATAGTTGCGACACTGATACATAGTTGTATGTGCACTGGTTTTAGTGAAAAACATCTCAGACAGAACCTGTAAACAAACCTCATATGTTAATTTACCCTTTTAGTTCAGAGCTTTGCAGAGCTTTCCTTTTCTCAAATGTTTGGAATTCCAACATGACTTGATCATACACATCAAATCTTATTGTAGTTTCCTGGTCTTTATACAGCAGTAGTTGGACTTCAGCAGAGAGACCGCAACTTGCCCCCTCAGTGGTCAAGAACGCCCCTCGACCGTGTCTCCCGCATTTCCTGCAACTCATCCCTTACACCCCCTCCCTGCAATAACAACCAAAAAAAATCCCCCTCGTCCTCATGTACCACCCCACCAACCTCCGGATCCAAAGCATCATCCTCCGACACTTCCGCCATCTGCAATCCGACCCCACCACCAAAGACATTTTTCCCTTCACACCCTTATCCGCTTTCCGGATGGACCACTCTCTCCATGACTCCCTTGTCCGCTCCACACTCCCCTCCAGCCCCACCACACCCGGCACTTTTCCCTGCAACCACAGGAAGTGCTACACCTGCCCCTACACCTCCCACCTCAACCCCATCCCAGGCCCCAAGAAAACTTTCCACATCAAGCAGATGTTCACCTGCACATCTGCTAATGTGGTATGCTGTATCCGCTGTTCCCGTTGTGGCCTCCTCTACATTGGGGAAACCAAGCGGAGGCTTGGGGACCGCTTTGCGGAACACCTACGCTCAGTTTGTACTAAACAACTGCACCTCCCAGTCGCGAACCATTTCAACTCCCCCTCCCATTCCTCAGATGACATGTCCATCCTGGGCCTCCTGCAGTGCCACAACGATGCCACCCGAAGGTTGCAGGAACAGCAATTCATATTCCGCTTGGGAACCCTGCAGCCCAATGGTATCAATGTGGACTTCACAAGCTTCAAAATCTCTCCTCCACCTACCACATCCCAAAACCTGCCCAGCTTATCCCCGCCTCCCTAACCTGTCCTTCCTCCCACCTATTCCCTCCTCCCACCTCAAGCCCCACCCCATCTCCCACCTACTAGCCTCATCCCGCCCCCTTGACCTGTCCGTCCTTCCTGGACTGACCTATCTCCTCCCTAAATCCCCACCTACACTCACCTTTACTGGCTCCATCCACATCTCTTTGACCTGTCTGCCTCATCTCCACCTATCTTCTCCTCTATCCATCTTCTATCCACCTCCCCCTCTCTCCCTATTTATTCCAGAACCCCCTTCCCCTCCCCCATTTCTGAAGAAGGTTCTAGGCCCGAAACATCAGCCTTCCTGCTCCTCTGATGCTGCTCGGCCTGCTGTGTTCATCCAGCTCTACACCTTGTTATCTCAGATTCTCCAGCATCTGCAGTTCCTACTATCTAGGTTTTCTATGCTTTCTTTCCCCGCAGATGGTGGCAGCCCTACAGAGTTTCTTCAGTACTTTCTGTTTTTTTTGTTTTGGATCTTCAGTGTCCAAAAGTCTTTGTTTTATTGATTTCTTTGAATCTTGACTCTTGTAGCGTTACAGCACAGACCCTGCCCTACTTTCCACTCAAAACATGGATGGATGCTGCTTGCTCAAGACCAAGGATGTGCCCTTTTTGATAAGTTAATTTTAAGAATATCAGAACAGATGAAAGAGGCGCACAAGTACACCTTCATCCTCTTGAGCTTGCTGCATCATTCAATAAGTTATGTGCCTGAAGACCCAAACCTCTCTGCACACTAATATTTAATAGTTTCTCACCATTGCAGCAAGACCTGGACATAATCCAGGCATGGGCTAATAAGTGATAAGTAACATTGGTACCACACAAATGCCAGGCAATGACCCTTAGCATGCAATCTATTATCACAAAGGGTATTTCACAGATTTCAAGGTAGATATGGAGCAACTGTCATGGTATTGTCATATAGAAAGCTTGGTTGTCAAAACAGTGCTTGTAGCCAAGAAGCTGAAGTGCACGGTCCAGGGGGCATCACACTTGATTGTAAAGATCTGCTACAAACTACCACCATATTCAAAACAAAATCATAGAAAGCCTTTACATACTTCACAACTAAGAAGTTACACCTAATTAGGGATGCTAATACTGACCTCAATTTCTTTCAAAGGGTGGAAGTGGATAAACAATAACAAGGTGAAGGAAAAGCTGAGAGAAAATTTTGTTGGACTCTGTAAGCTCAAGGCAGAAGCGAAACAAAGGAGGAGAATCTCCTGAAGTGAGCTATGTTTGAATTAAAAAACTGGTTCATTCCGTAAATTTAAAATGTAAAATTAAGAGATTTACCAGGATGTTGCTGAGAATGGAGGGCTTGCGTAATGAGAGGCTAATTAGGCTGGGACTTTTTTCACTGGATCATAGGAGGTTGAGAGGTGACCTTATAGTGGTTTATAAAATCATGGGAGGTATAGATAAGGTGAATGGCAGATGTCTTTTCCCTAGTATAGAGGATTTCAAGACTAGGGGCTATCTTTCAAGGCGAGAGAAGAAAGATTTAAAAAAGACACATGAGGGGAAATTTTTTTTTACGCAGAGCGTGGTTCATGTGTAGAATGAACTTCCAGAGGAAGTGATGGATGCGAGTACAGGTACAACGTTCAAAAAGCATTTAGATAAGTTCATGAATAAGAAATGTTTGGATGGATATGGGCAAAGCACAGAATGGTGCAACCAGTTTAGTTCTGGATTATGGCCGGACTGAAAGGTTTGTTTCCATGCTGTATGACTCTATGACTCTATAAATGAGAAATCTGCAATGATAAGGATTTACCCGAAAGGTTTTTCCCTGGTATCAAAACTAAATTTGGTTCAAATTTCAAGTGGAAACAAATTTGAAGAAGTACAATGAAAGAGGTAGCAACTGAACTGTCAACACTATTCGAGATGGTGTATGGTGACAGATGGACAATGGATATATCTGTTATGTTACTAAATTAAATTAGATTGCAATGCAGCACAGTGAAGAAATATTCACTCCAAATTCAAATCTGTCATTAGGGTCTGAGGTGATTAGAAAGGGAGAGGTTTGAGCAAAATATCTAACTTTCTCACATTTCAAAATCCCTAACAATAAGAAAAGGTGTCTTACTAAGCAGGAGTGAATTTCCTGATAGCAGAATCAAGGAAGTGAAGAGGTTGGTGAGACAGAAGGAGAATGCCCAAAATATTCAAGAAGTTGAAGTAATAAATCTACCGATTTAAACCAGAGGCAGAATGAGAAGTAATTACCGTGGATCCAATTTAAGATGTGGTGCAAACACCTCCATGGGAAACACC